TGCCGACTAAAATGGATATGAATGATTTTTTTCTGCAATTTTTTTTCAAACTAGTCACAACAGTGTACTGTATTGAGTATTCTTCATTACTACCATGAGGGGGTCATATACAACAGGCACTTGGTTGAAATAGCAATTAGTCCCATAAAGCACTGTTTAGCTACATAGTGACTTTTGTGTTATGTTTGAATATGTTCAGTGTTACTTTTAAATATGGAAAACTGCAACAGGCTTTCTCTGGCTGCCAAGAGTTTTTGTTTGTTTGTTTGTTTGTTTTAATGGGACTGCTGTGTTTATATTGTTACTGTTATTTTAAAGGTATTTTACTACTGGTTTTTATATTACAATTGTTTAATTCTTTGTCAAGCATTGCAATAATGCATTGTTCTAGCTTCTAATATTGTTTCTTCTAATATTGTAAACCATCCTGGATCTTTTTTAGGAGATAGGCCGCACATAAGTATTTTAAATAAGACATGAGTTTTCTACCTATACATTTTATAAATACTTTTTCAGTAGCATGTTTAAAGTCTATATAACCTTTCCATCATTCTGTTGGTGACTGCTATGCAAGTCACATCACAACGCTTAAAATAAGCCATTACTCTTCCACTTTTCCTATGCACATAATCTGCAGTTATTGATTTATGAACAAATCAACTATTTTACTTCCACGTTTTTCTGTCAGCTACTAATAATACATTAAAACTTGTGATGTATATTGTAGGTTATGTTAAGCTTTTACAAACGCTGCAAGAAAGCTTGAGATTACCGGCAATGTGGATGTTTCTATTTGTCATTCATCTTGGCTACAAACAACACTCCTATAATGCAAAGTACAATTGCTTTGCAAAAAAAAGGCAATCCATTACAGAACAAGTCACAGAGCACTATAATTCCAACTCTTAAATACACTTGATCATTAAACACACTATATAACATTAACCTTCATTCTTGCACAGCTAAGAGTTTTCCAATATCTTCAGTCAAACCCCTTAATTTCAGAGGGCTTTAAAATCTACCTTATAAATTCATAGTAGGCTTAATATGTCACACAAAACTTGCTTTCAGAGAGTAAACATTTTAACGGTTATTGGTTAAATGTTTGGCAGTCCCATGGGTATACTAATAACCCAACCAGAATGTCAAATGAAGCAGGGTTCAAAATGGCCTAAATATAGACTAATAATTATGGCAGTCCAATTAACCTAATTTCACAAGGAATTTGCAACTTTTAACAGGTTAATTTATATAAAAGCATAACATTAGTTTGAGCAATGTTCAAACATATTTTTTAATTCCTACACAGTCAGTCCGAAGTTTCTAAGCAATATAAATGTATCATGCAAGTACAGAGACAAACTGACCTAATAGATGGGAACACTTCTCACTCCTGCATCATTAAGCTGCAA